GGCCCCCCGCCGCCCCCCCCGCCAGCCGGAGGAGCTCAGCAGCTTGTGGCCCCCCCAGGCCTCCAGGGCTCTGCTGGACGGGGTCACGCCCAAGGCCCGGGCTCCAGAGAAGCTGGCGCCGCACGTGGCAGGTGTGGAGAGGATCCTGGAGCCCGGCAGCCTGGTGCAGTGTGAGCCCAGCGTCCTCCTGGACGCCATCAAACTGGCGCCCGGCGTGACCATCCGGGACAGCCGCAGCGTGAAACGCGGGCACCTGCAGAGCACGTCGCAGGGGCAGGACCTCACCGCTGCCCCTGCCCCCAGAGCGGCCCCGAGGGCGCTGAGGCCCATCTGGCCTGCGATGCCCTTCCCCGCCGTGGCTGTGAAGCAGCTGCTCCGGGACCACGTGCCCCGGATCCAGCCCACGATTCTTCCACCATCCATCATGCTGACGGGGCCAGAGGGCTTGTGAGTGGGGCAGGGCCAAGCCCCCCCTCCATTGCATGGCCCGAGCTCTGGCTGCTGGACTGCAGGTCGCGCGTGGTGTCCTCCTTCGCAAGCCCGTGCAGCCGGGACCCCAGCATGGGGCTCCCTGCCAGACCGAGCCGCAGCAATAAACCTCCTGTGTGCCCACGTGACTTGGCTGCCTGCTTTCCTCGGCCGGTGCCCTGCCCAGCTCCACTCCTAGCAGCGAAAATGGCTGGGGGACTGGAGGGCAGGACTGGTGGGGACAGGCTGAGGGACTCGCCTGATTTAGTTTGGAGAAGAGAAGACGGAGGGGGATTGAATAGCAGCCTTCACCTCCCTGCAGGGGGGATGCAAAGAGGACGGAGCTGGGCTGGTCTCAGTGGGGGCAGATGAGAGGACAAGGAGCAATGGGCTCAAGCTGCAGAAAGGGAAGTTGAGGTTGGATATCAGCCAGGTCCACTGCTCACGTAGGGTCCTAGCCGGGATACAGGACCTCCACCTAACCCAGGAGGTGCACAGTCCCACCAGGGGAAATGCCTTGCTGGACTTGGTCCTGGTGTGGGGTCTGCAGGTGCTCGACCACCTGGGCGCTAGCGATCATCACCTGTTGCAATTCACCATCCAGCGCAGGGGGGTGAAAGCAAGCAGCAAGGCATTGGTCCTCGACTTCAGGAGGGCCGACTTCTGTGAGCTAAGGAGGTTAGTAGGAGAGGCATTGGGGTCCCAGAGCTTCAGTGAGATGGGAGTCCAAGACAGGTGGCTGTTTCTCAAGGAGGCGATCCTCCAAGCTCAGAGGGAGTCAGTCCCAATGCGCACCGAGGTGGGCAGCAGTGCTAAGAAGCCCCCATGGCTCGGCAAAGGCATCCAGGGACGCCTGAGGGCAAAAAAGGAGGCGCACAAATGGTGGAAGCAAGGGGCTATCACCAAGGAGGATTACACCTCCATTGCTCGGGACTCAGGGAGGCGGCTAGGATGGCCAAGGCAGAGATGGAGCCAGGCCTGGTGACCAGAATTAAGGATAATAACACATCCTTTTCAAATACATAGGAAGTAAGAAGAAGGCACCGAGTAACATGGGGCCCCTGCAGGACAGGCTTGGCAATCTGGGGATGGAGGGAAAAGAAAAAACTGACCTCTTTAACAAATTCTTTGTGGCCGCAGCAGGGGCCACCATCCCTGCAGCTGTCACCCCGCTGCGCCTGAACACACCCAGGGTCACCCCTGGCACGAGTTGTGCTTGTCCGCAGCTCAAGGTGCAGTTCCCCCCAAACCCCTGCACCCATCTCCTTGAAACGTGGCAGGCTGTGTGGCTTCAGCAAGAGCTACCAGCCCGGCAGTTTTCACCCCACTGTGGCTTAACACACACGTGACTTGTTTTGCTTTCAGGATTTGAGGTGCAGTTTCCCAGAAATGCTTGCACCTATCACCTTGAAACTTGGCGCACATCATGCTCTTAGTAGAGGCTACCATCCCTGCACGTTTCATCCAAGTTTCTATTTCATCTGGTTCTAGGGGGAACCAGAAGGGTTTGGGGGAGACGCTGTTGCCCCTAGCCCCCGCTGGCATAACGAGGAGTAATGGGCACAAGTTGATGGAGAGGAGGGACAGATTGGACATCCGAAAAAACTACTTCACAGTCAGGGCGGCTAGGAGCTGGAACCAACTTCCAAGGGAGGTGGTGCTGGCCCCTACCCTGGGGATCTTTAAGAAGAGGCTGGATACCTACCTGGCTGGACTCATTTGAGTCCCGTTTTTGTTTTTAGGGTTTTTTTGGGTTTTTTTTGGGTTGTTCTCCCGCCCTGGCGGGGGGTCGGGCTAGAAGATCTATTAGGTCCCTTCCGACCCTAAAACTATGAAACTATGAAATTAGCCAAAAGACAACAAAGTTATAGATATTTCATTGATTCCCCATGATACTCTATGGCTAAATCTCTGAATCAGCTCCAAATCTTCTGAAGCGATTCGGCTGAATCAAATCTCTGGCATCCGAATCGGTCGAATCCAAATCGAATAGTTCCCTATTTGCACAGGTCTAATGCCTACACAGTCAGATGATGGATGGCAAAGTGGCTCGATGGTACCGCACCCAGAGAGTGGTGGTGGACGGGGCGTTTTTGACCTGGAGGGACGTGGGCAGTGGGGTCCCCCAGGGCTCAGTCCTGGGGCCTGTGCTATTCAACATCTTCATCAACGATCTGGATGTGGGTGTGGAAAGCACGCTGTCCAAATTTGCTGACGGCACCAAGTTGTGGGGCGAGGTGGCACACTGGAGGGGAGGGACAGGATCCAGCTAGATCTAGGACGATTACAGAGGTAGGCGGATGAGTCTAGACCTGTTTTAATTAAAATAGCAATGGGGCAGATGAGAGTGGGATGGAGTTCAATGCAGACAAGTGCAAGGTGCTGCCTCTAGGGAGAAGGAACCAGCATCACACCGATGGGCTGGGAACACCCTTCTTGTCAACGTGGCGGCAGAAAGGGAGCTTGGAGTCGTTGTTGACTCCAGGATGGGCTGGTCCTGGTTGGAGCAGGGGGCTGGACTAGATCAGTGGTTCTCAACCTTTTTTGTACCAGGACTCATTTGTAAACACCAATGGCCAGTCCCCACTCAGCGCCCCACTCCTGACTCAGTGCCGTGTGCGGGGCAAGGGGGTGGGTGGCATGCGGGGAGGGGGTGCGGGGCAGGGGAGGGCCCCAAGCAGCCGCTTGCAGGCTGGAACTCTGCCAGCCTGCAAGGGAAAAGCTGCGGTTTCCCACATTTGTCTCCTTTGAAGGAGAAAGTGTTTTTAAAGTTTGCCAGACAGGAGCTGGGACGTGTACGCAGCTCAGTAGCAGTGAAAATGGTGTGATGGTGAGACGCCCATCTCCCTGAAACCGGCCGGGTCGTGAACAAAGGAGGGACAAGCGTGGGTCTACAAGAGGGGCGAAGGCTCAGTCTGAGAGGCAGCAGCAGGGCGGCTGGGTGGATCTGGGCGTTGAGACCCACGGGATGCTTCCAGGCACACGTTCCAGTGCTGCCGGGCGGCTGCCGGCCTGGGGGTGCAGGAGCCTTGGGCCAGCCGCTAGGGGTGAGCAGAGGACCGACAAGCAAGGGGAACGGGACAGGAGCTGCAGGGAGGAGGTCTGCTGGCAGGCCAGGGCCCTGGGACCAAAGCTGCGGGCACAGCTGAGCTGAACCAACCTTGCCAGGAGCGCTAGGGTCCAGAGCGACCTGGGGAGGCAGGAGAAAGGCTCCTCAACCAAGCAGATGAGATCTAGTGAGGATCAGTGCAAAGTCCTGTCCTGGGGGTGGGATAATCCCATGCACCAGCACAGCCGGGGTGCACCCGGCCCGGCTGCAGCGCTGCAGAGGGACCTGGGGGTGCACTGAGTAGCCCACGCACTGCACAGGAGCCGGCCGTGAGCTCTGGACGCAAACACCGCCAGCCACCTCCGGGGCTGTACGAACAGGAGAGTCACTGGGCAAGCAAGGGCAGTGGTTCTCCTGCTCTACCCAGCGCTGGAGACTGCGTCCAGGTCTGGGCCCGGCACTACCAGAAGGACGCGGGCAGGTTGGAAACAGCCCAGCACAGAGCAACCCAAACGATCGGGGCCTGGGAGGCAAGAGATGAGCACAGGGTGGAGGGATTGCGGGGACTGAGTCTGGAGAAGAGAAGACTGAGCAGGGTTTGATCACAGGCTGCAAATCCCTGCAGGGCGATGGCCGAGGCTGGAGACAGGCTCCTCTCTGCCGCCACGGGGGACAAGACTAGGAGCGACGGCTTCAAGCTGCAGCAGGGGAAACTGAGGCTGGGGGTGAGGGAAAACTTTGTGACTCTGGGGGGCAGGCGTTGGAACAGGCCCCTAGAGACGTGGTGGAGTCTGCAACCCTGGGAGTTTCCAAGAGCAGGTTGCACGGCCCTGTGGCCAAGGTCATTGAGTCGGGGCTGGGGGGGGGCAGCAACCAGCACAGCCCCGAAGCCTGGGACACCCCACAGCAGAGCACGGGCATCGCTGCACCTAGAGCATCCCCCAACAGTGCCCGTCCAGCCTCTCCTTGAACCTCCAGCGATGGAGAGTCCCCCCATCGTAGAGGGGTGGTGGACAGGTCGTTTTCGACCTGGTGGGAGGTGGTCCTGCAGGGGTTGGTCCTTGGGCCGGTGTTATTTAATATCTTCATCAGCGATTTGGACGAGGACGTGGAGAGCACCCTGTCCAAGTTCACAGATGACACCAAGTTCTGGGGCAAAGTTAGTACACCGGAGGGCAGGGAGAGGATACAGGCAGACCTGGACAGGTTGGAGCAATGGGCAGAACGAAACAGGATGCAGTTCAACAGGGGGCTAGAAGCAAAGGTCCAAGGCAGCAGACGTAGCCTGAGAGGCTCAGGCAGAGAAAAGGGGCCAAAGCCAGGAAGACCGAAGCCCCAGCGAAGGTGTGAGGCTGGAGGAGTGGGGCAGGAGTTGTGTGGTCACCACGGGAGGTCACAGCCGCTCTCAGAGCCAGACGCACCATAGTGCCCTGTCCGGCTAGCACCTGGTTGTGTGCCGGGGTTCACAACCAGGCAGGGCTAGCGGCTAAGGGTGGAAGGAGGCCGCCAGGAACACCCGTCTGTAGACTCATAGCCACGGCTGCGGCAGCAAAGCGACGCCAAGCAGGTGCCCGAACCCTTCTTGTGCCACAGCTGGGTGGTGGCTCCCACCCCAGGACCCTCCCGGACCATCCTGGCCTCCCCCTGCCCTCAGGGAGCTGGCCCCGGCTATCTCCAGAAATCCTGCAGATTGGCAGGGCGCTGTTGCCCCAGGATTCCCTTTACCAGAGACCCCCGAGGATTGACACGGCCCCTCGTCCGATTTGCTATCAAGTGAACTTTATTAGTAACCCCTAAGCTCATTACAGGTATTCTTCCTTGCAATACGACCTGGCAAGCGGCTCCTTCAGGCGTTACAGCAGTGACCTTGGGTGGTACCGGCCTCAGGTCCTGTGCTGGGCGCGCGGGATGTTGGTGTCTGGATTCCTCGTTGTTCGAACAAGAATCCCAAGGGTGCTCCTGTCTCGCCAGCGTGGCAACACAAACACACACTGTGTCTTTGTCTGTCCACTACTCGTCTAACTTTCTCACCTCAAACTGTCCAGTCCTCAAGTTTCTCACCTCGTCGTTTTAGACAAGGTACTCCAATCC